ACCAGTAGAAACAGCCGGTTGTTGATCACGTGACTCCTGTGATGCGAAAAAAGTGTTTCCATTGCAGTTTTGCAAAAATACCAATTTCGAAACGGTTGAAAAACCACCTCATCCTAGCGCAAAAACATTTTGTCATAAATGTAAATTTTTTTCAAAATTGACGTGTTTCCATTGAGCAAATTTATTTTTGAAATTCTAATTTACGCATTTTCATGGTCAATGGAAACGCAGCTAGTGACACACACTCAGTCAGGTTCAGCAGGAATGACTCCGCCCACACAGTAGGAATGACTCCGCCCACACAGCATGAATGACTCCGCCCACACAGCATGAATAGCATGAATGACTCCGCCCACACAGGATGAATGGCTCCGCCCACATAGAAATGACACCTTGTTTTCATTAAGATGAATTTTTATAACAGTTACAGCACTTTACTGAGGATCAGTTATTTTAATTTATCTTTTTACTGTGTGAACGCTTCGGGTTTTTTCTTCTGTTTGTTTCTTAGCTCATATCTCGTTCTGCAGATTTTGTACAATATGAACAAATCATCCATCAAAAGTTTAGCTCCTTCAGGATATTCCGGCTATGATTTTTGGTATAATATTTTTAGCTATTTCACCTTTGCCACGTTTCCTATTGAAAATGAATGGAGCTGTTTTCAACAGACTTAAAATCCTTCAGAATGTTTCTTTACTAAACCTTTTTATACATTTTGTTTTGGTTCTACTCTTTTTTTACTTATTTTTGGTAATTTTAGCTTCTTTTTTGTTATCTTTAACATTTTTTGCTATTTCTTGCTAAAATTCTCYCTGTTGTTTTAGCTGTTATTAGCTAAAATTAGTTTTGAAGTTACATCCATATTTTGGGGCCATTTCAGCTCCTTTCTACTAAGTTATGCAACATATGCTCCTTTTGCTTTTTATGCTAAATTCACCAATTTCTGCTACACTTCAGCCAATTTAATGCACATTTTGTCATGGATGGATGGATGCAACATTTTTTGCACTTTAGGCTAATTTTGCTTTTTTCTGATTTGATTTTTTGTGATTCTGCAAATTTGAGTTTTTTAAGCTTCTTTGCGTTTCAAACGAACTTGCTTTAAATTAACTTTTAGCTAAAGTTTTTAGCGGGAAGCATTCACACTAGCATTTTTGCAGGAAATTCATTGTCTCTAGTTTATCATTATTTTAGTTCTTCCATATGTTTTTTTGGCCTGCATTTCTCCTGCACCTTTTTTTCTTTTTTGCCGTTTCTACAATTTATAAATCAAATCATTCAGCTCCTTCAGGACATTCCAGCTATGACTTTTGGCATTTCAGCAATTTCCTTTTTTGTTTACATTTCTCCCTCAGTGGAAATTAATGGAGCCACTTTCAACAACCTTAAAACCATTTAAAATCCTTACATAAATCTTAACTGCACTTTTTACCTTTTGTTTTATTTTCAACTTTCATGTGCTATTTTCACCTACTTTCAAGCTATTATTTCAGATTACTGCTTAATTCAGCAATTGTGCATTTAGCTTTGTTGTGCTAATTTCAGCTACTTTTTAGCTTTGTTGTGGTAATTTCAGCTGTTTTAAGTAAACTTTATATATTTTTAAGCAAAATTCATTTTTCTGTAATAATTTCAGGTTATTGCTTGAGTCAGCAATTGTGCATTTAGCTTTGTTGTGCTAATTTTGGCTACTTTTTAGCCTTTTTTGCTAAATTCAGCTGTTTTAAGTAAACTATTTTCCAGCAAAATTCATTTTTCTGTAATAATTTCAGGTTTTTACTTAATTCAGCAATTGCACATTTAGCTTTGTTGTGCTAATTTCAGTTACTTTTTAGCTTTTTTTGCTAATTTCAGCTGTTTTAAATAAACTTTATATATGTTTACAGCTAAATTCATTTTTCCGTAATAACCAGATTATTGCTTATTTCAGTATTTGTGCATTTAGCTTTGTTGTGCTAATTTCAGCTACTTTTTAGCCTTTTTTGCTAATTTCAGCTGTTCTGAGTAAAATTGATATATTTTTTCCAGCTAAATTCATTTTTCTGTAATATTTTCAGATTATTGCTTAATTCAGCACTTGTGCATTTAGTTTTGTTGTGCTAATTTCAGCTACTTTTTAACTATTTTTTGCTAACTTCATCTTGTTTTAAGCAAACTCTATTCTAAATTCATTTTTCTATAATAGTTTCAGATCACTGCTTAATTCAGCAATTGTGCATTCAGCTTTGTTGAGCTAATTTCAGCTACTTTTAGCTATTTTTTGCTATTTTCAGCCATTTTAAGCAAACTTTACATATATTTCCAGCTAAATTTATTTTTTCTGTAATTATTTCATGTTATTGCTTAATTCAGCAATTGTGCATTCACCTTCATTGCACTAATTTCAGCTACTTTTTAGCTGTTTTCCTGTTAAATGCAGAATTGCAACAAATTTCAACCTTTTTCATAGTCTTTCCCTTTTTTGTTTTAATGTGAGTTTTTTACACTCATCACCATCTATTTGCTAATTTTAACTCATTTCTTCTACTTTTGGCTTCTTTTAGCTAATTTTAGCCTGGTTTAGCTTCTGCTAGTTTAATCTGCTTTGTTCTCAGTCCAGTTCTTGCACCTTCATCTGTATCCATTTTAAAGGTATTGAGCTAAATTTTGTTGGGTATTAGCTGAGAGTGATCCATACCACACGCTGAAAGCTAATTAGCTAACTAAGCTAGCTGTCCGTCACTCGGTGGTCAGCTTCTTCAGCTAAAACCTTCCAGTATTTTTTCYGTTGTCATAAGAGTTGTATAAAAACCTGTTCTGTTCAGAGACTGTAGCGTGTTTCTCTGCTGCAGCTTAATGTCACGCTCACGTCTGACATAACAAATACAACTGCACAGTAATCCCAACACACACACACACACACACACACACACACACACACAC